TAACTACTTCTATGTAACTGTAACTAACGTTAATGGGGATCCACAGATTCAGTCACATGACCTCTGAACATCGTCTGCCTCAAATGTTCTGTTGTTCATAAAGTTCTTTTGAATTTTGTTCCTGCAGCTCCACAACGTCCATTTCCTGTACAGGCCCTGTCCAGACTTCTTTCCCAGCATGCTTTGCACATGTCTGCGCTCCAGCATCAGGGTCACCAGCTTCAGCAGGGTGGGGGGGCGTCCACCCGACACCACCTGTCCAGGTGATGGAGCGTTACCACGGTTACTGCTGGAGAAAAACAGGGGTGTGTCTGAGTACCTGTGGACGTGTCACCTGAGCTCACGGCTCTCACGCAGGTGAGGAGACGTCCCTGAACGCATCACCGAGGTCAGAGGTTAGGTCAAAGACAACTGAGTGTGATTAGAGATGTTCTGCCCCCTGAAGGCACAGAGCAGTAACTACATCACTGTCAACACAGATCTGAAACTGTGTGTGTCTGTCTGTCTGTCTGTCTGTCTGTCTGTCTGTCTGTGTCCAGTTTGGTTCCCAGTGTGTTGAACCAGCAGCAGTGTGTCTGTGTGTTGTCCTGGAAACTGATGGAGTTAATGTGGGGACGAGAAAGAGGGCGGAGAGACATCTACTCAGAGATGTTGGACGAGTCTCACACGTGTCCTGTGACTCAGGTAGAGACTCCTCACCTTACACTGAACCTTATTGACACCTACAGTGTCTCTTTGTCCCCACTATGTCTCAACAGTGTCTCTACAGTGTCTCTATGTCTCCACTATGTCTCCAAAATGTCTCTACAGTGTCTCTTCAATGTCTCTACAGTGTCTCTGTGTCTCCACAGTACAGCGTTGACCCTGCAGTCCCTCAGTACGTCAGTGTCTCAGAGCTCGTCCTGTCTCTTCAGTCAGACTGTTGGTCTTCAGTGTCTCTCAGATCTCTGTTGCCTCTCGATGGATCCAGTCTGAGCAGTTCTGAGATCAATGCAGCTCTGGCCTGGTCCTGCAGGACTCAGAGATCTGACCCCAGAGACGACCTTCACAACGGAGACACACTCAGGTAAACTGTGACCTTTGACCCGACTAGAGTCTCAGTGATAAAACCATAGACTGTATATAAAGATATAGAACATGTTAATGAAGCAGAACAGTTTGGTTCTTGTGTCGTCCACTGGGAGGCGCTAACACACACACACACATACACACACAAAGTGTTATTACATGTTTATATACAAGTTAAATGAAGTGTTATTACATGTTTATATACAGGTTAAATGAAGTGTTATTACATGTTTATATACAGG